TAAGATATTTAAATAAATTACAAAGTATTCACTTGTCAAATAATCATATTGAAGAATTTCCATTATCTATTTGCTATTTAAATTCTTTAACATTTCTTGATTTATGTTATAATATTTTGAAAAAACTACCAAAATCTATTCAACATTTAAAACGTTTAAAAACATTATTATTACTTGGTAATAAATTACAACGTTTACCAAATGAATTATGTCAATTGAGTGTATTAGAAACACTTTGGATTGGTGAAAATCATATAACACAATTACCTGTTGATTTTCATTTATTAAATAATCTTGATTGGAAAGATCATTATTTATCATCGAATTATGATGGAAATCCATTAATTCAATTACCATTAACTGTTTATAGAAAAGATATGACAGTTACTGAACAACATCCTCGAAAATAAACGTGAATAATATTTAGAAAAACAAGTCGAAATAAACAGTTTAATAATTCTCAAAAGACACGATAAGAATAGTCGAAAGTATTCAATATCTCATTTCAAGAGACATTTACATAACAAAAGAAATCAGATCCTTTTTCTTACATATGGAGTCGAAACAGATTTGGCTGGAATTTTTTTTTGCAGTCGAATTGAAGAAAAAATCTTTTTTGCAACTTACTTATAATTATAAGGTCATGAGTAATATAAAATATCTCTGTTCAGATCTTCTACGTTACTGAGATGGGAGACATTGTTTGTACAATAACTATAAGTAACTACTTTTTCTGCCGGCTACTTATAATCATACCTTTATGAATAAAATAATCATAATTAGCTTGAGTACAGTATAGAGACATGTTGCTAGATGTGAGCTTAGTTTGCATTGGTAGAAATCGTGAAAAAAATCAGAAGTACGACATGGTTAAAAATGGAAAAAGTCCAAAATTTGCGCGCGCTCTCTCCGTCCATGGAAGACGTTTTTATAAAATTACAGCTGCCCGAGAATTTAAGTATAAAGTTACAGCTGCCTAAGTAATCAATTTCACCAATCTTGCCTTTGGAGTAATACATAAGAGTCAATTTTTAGAAAACAAATATCTCCTATTTCAGTAACGGAGAAGACTTGAGCAGAGATATTTTTTGTATTAGCCGTGACTTTATGATAGCTAACTTGCAAAAAAGATTTTTCTCCAACTCGTCTGCAAAAAAAATCTTGCCGAATCTGTTTCGATCCGATATGTAATTTAGAAAATCGACTATCTTCTGCGTTCATTGTGAAAAAAATTCTCTTATTTAAAATTTTACATTGACTACGTTCAATTATTAACACTCAAAAAAAAAAAAAACAATAACAGAATATCAATAAACTTATTTTCAACTAACATTTTCTATGAATAAGTAATGCAACGTTTAAAAAGTGTCTAGATATCAAAAAAATTGATTTTCTACAATTATTATTATCAATTTAATATGTTGCTAAACTATTAATTGAAAATATAAAATAAAATAGAATCGATGGTAGTGCATAGAAACAAACATCTCATTGCCTACAACTGTCAGCATGTCCATGCTTGAAGAATATTATTTTTGTTTTATATTTTATGTATTTCTAGCATTCTACATGTACTTAAAGTCGTTTTGTTCTTTTACTTTTTGTATCCTCTAAAAACAGTTTCACATTCAGTTCATTTTTAAAAAAAATGAACTCTGTATTATATGCACACACAAATGTATATTTACTTTTCATCAAAAAAAAATTTTCATTTATAGTAAATCGGTTTATGAGAAGAAAAAGAATGAAAAAATGTTAACATAACGAAAAGTAAACTTTTTAACATTTCTATTTATAATAATAATAAAATTTCTCGGAAACACACTAAAATTATTTTAAAACTAAAACTCAATTTACATCATGGGTAGTCGAATTTTAACTTGTCTATTTTGTACATTATACATAAGTGTTTTAACAATAATAATTTTATTAACAATTAGTGCATCAATCATTGGAATAATCGGTATTGTAAAGTATATACCAGCATATAGAATGGAGCAAACATACATGATTAATAATTGTAGTGTTATTGACATAGATATGGATCGATGTAACGATTATTCAAATTGGGCTAAAAACTGTTATATTAATATGTGGGAACTTTTCTATCATACTCCAAATCTCACTTATTCAACAATAACTAGGATATACGCGTCCCGGGATGAAGCTGATTATATATCAAATATGTATCAGGTAATGTAAACACACATACAAAAGTAAAAAGAAAAAAATGCTTCTTGAATAATTAATTACTAAGCACTTTTTTATATTTAAAGCTATACGGCGATTATCCTTGTTATTATGATACAATAACAGTGGAAAATGTACAATGGGAAAAACCAGAATCATCAAGAAAACATTTGATTATGATGACAACAGGATTATCAATTTCTATTAGTATATTATTAGTTATCGGTGGATTTATACTGATAAAATATTTTAGAAACAAGTAGTGTCGATAGGTAATTATGTCTTAGATTTTATTCGCTTACAGAGTGATTTTCTCATCTTTAGATGATATTGAAAGTCAATTAAATTGCTAAGAAAAGCAGTTTTAAAATTGTTTGAATGATATATCGGTGGAAAGCCTCAACTAGAGGAAAAATATGTCAGAATTTGAAAAGTTCATTTCTCAACCCAGTCATACGTTCAGAACATATTTATCCAAATAAGTCAGAATCTAACTCAATGGACTGAAGGATATTTCCAGTGAAAATCAAGGCGTATTTGGATGATACGTCTGTATATGATTGATACAACACAAAACGAAAATAAAATTGCTTTAATACAACAATCCCAATTATAAGGCTTGTACAATAACTCTTCGTCAAATGCACACAAATGCATTTTCCTCCCAAAAAGTTGCTGATCCACCAACGAAAGTTTTCAGATATACAAAGCAGTCGTCCGTCAATACCAGTATCATTTACTTTTATTGAGAAAACATTGATAAACTTGAACAAATTTTTACACTAATTCCTCAACTAAATTCATTTTATTAAACAAATAAATTTTTAACTCAAATTCCATTCTGATATAAACGCAGTTACGATTTTTCTCTTACTAGCATGCTCACTGACTGATTTCATTTTTAACTCGATAGAACTTATTTTTGCAAAGCTAAAGTGCATTCTAATCAAATACAAGCACAACAAAAAGCATATTTTTCCTGATAAAAAAAAGACGCATCAACAGTTTTGAAAAGATAATAACGTACATGTTGATGAAAAAAAGTTTTAATAAACAAAAAAGAAATAACAAATTGTGATGTGACACACATGAGAAAAATATCTGACAAAGAAAAAGACATCAAAAACAAAAAATTATATTATTTTTTATATGTACAAGGAAGAAAGACACATCATTATCTATTACAAACAACAGCCATTTGCCAATTTATGAACAAGTTTTTGTTGCTTAACACAAAATGTACTGGCACCAGACAGATGTTC